TTTCAAAATAAATCTTTGTACGGAAAATTAAAATAAAATTGCTTTTCTCGACATTTTTTCAAAGTTTGCTATGGCGATCAAATACATCTAAAATTTATACGAAATTACCCATCACGACCAAGCACTACAAATTTTATAAATATGAGACTGAACCAAATTTGCAATCTTACTTTTTGACCAACTGATCGACCGGATTGGCCAGAAAAGTCAGGAACCGGTCAGATGACTAGATACCAAGGATTAAAGTATTGGTATCGGGTATCGTATCGGACAACTTGGATATGGATGCATTTAGAAAATGCATGGATACGAATGAAAAAATATGGAAATGTTTGGATACTAATGTAGGGTGATTTGGCCCAACCTCGTAGCACGGGGACACGTGGACATGACCTAGCACAAGTCGTTCGCCGAAGCCCGGCCGAACGACTCGGCGGGTGTGACAACTCACCAGGAAGCAAGGCCCAGCTCACCCCAAACCCTAAGGGTGGAACGCCCCAAGCTCCTTCCATGCAAAGGGACCCGAGCTACCCTTGAGGCCCGAGCTCTTCCTTCCTAAGAAGGGAGCACCCCGACTTTTGGCTAAGTGTCCCGAGGGAGAAACACCTCGGGATAGCATCGTCGACACTCCCGTTCTTACTTGCTTAAGGTTCGCCTCCGGTGTGAGCACCTCGGGGTACCTCGGCATCTCAGTGCAAGGTAACTTAGCCCTAGGCGGTTCAGTGCAAAGCAGCTCGGAGGCCTACAGGGAAGATCCCCCTGACATCCGTACCTGCCGGATCTAGTGACAGTGCCCACGTCTCTCGCCAAGCGGCGTTGTGCCTGCCATCTCTAAAAAGCATGGCACGCCTGACAGGTCCGTACCCTGCAGCAGCAGCCTGCACCTGACATCTCAGCCCTGGCAGTAACGGCTATGGCAGTGGCGGTTACGCCTGATGTGACTGAGCTCCGGTATAAGAGGACCCCAACCCCCGCAAAGCAAAGGTATTGAAGCTAGCACTTTCAACACTCTTAACTCTCTCTGTGCTTTCCTTGAGTTTTCCTTAGAATTCTAACTTAGCCATCGGAGTGTTCCCGTTGGGAGAGCTCCCCGGGAATCCTTCATGTTCCTCTCCGTCTCAGGTGCCGTCTACCACATCTAGGAGCCAGGTTTCAACTAGCTAGGAATGCCCAGATTGTGCAGCATCAAATACGTTAAGAAAATGCACACAAATTCCATAAATATATTAATATCATTAAGTCTAATGTCAAAACAAATATAAATAATATATAAATACATAGGAATTGTATATTTAAAAGATACATACATACATACATACATATATACATATGAAGAAATATATTATAATAAATATAGCATGACATGTAGCTATTATCAAATTTTACAAATAATGCATCAATCAAGAATCCAAGGCAAATATTATATAGATTTATATAAATTAATATACGCAAAAAGCCAATATTATTTTATTATCTATTAAAGTATAAGGCATAAAGCATATGCAACTATTATATTTGAATTATTATATTATTTTTTCTATTTTTATTTTTTTAATATTAACAAAAATTCAACTAAAAAATTAATTCTTAAATGTTTGATAAATAATATTTATATTTTTGTAAACAATAAATATGTTATTATAAAATTTAAATTAAAATATTAATTAATAATTTATAAAAATATATAATCTTAACTTAAAATATATCAAATATATTAAAATTTTGAAAATGCATATCATATGAAAATTCATAAATTTTAATTACTAAAATAATTATTCTATTATTAATATTTTATTTTTATAAAATTTATTTTTAATATGAAATGTAGATTAATGGATTTGATTGGTTCAAATTATATTATATTTTCAAATACTTTGTAAACAATTCTTTTATTTTTGTAAATAATAAATACATTGTTATTTAATGAAAATTAAAATATTAATTAATAATTTATAAAAATTTAAGATATATACCATATGCAAATTTATGAAATTTAAGTATTAAAATAATTATTCTATTATGAATATTTTATTTGTATAAATTTTTTAAATTAAAATTCATCTTGATATATATATGTGTGTGTGTATTTTATAAATTATTTGTTCCCTTTATTTATAAAATGCTAATTTTGAAAATAAATATATGTTGCTTTTTGTTTGCATGTAAACATTAAGTTTAATACAATATATTTTATTACACTTACTAACACGAATTAACAAATGACTTTGAGGTTAATGTGCGCCTGAATGTTAGGCGTGCGCCGAAACGATGGTCGATACGCTTCGGTATCAACACTTATCAACCAATACTATGTGATACACACCGATACGATGGCATATCGAATCAATATGCATGACTAACAACGTGTCAGTGCAATTCGATACCGTATCGGGCATATTATATCGATATTTTAATTCCTGCCAATTTTATTTTACCACTACATTGTTATTTCGCCAAAAAACGTTGATTTTGTCAGCAAACCGTTGACCCAGGTGATCAAACCGTTCAACAATTTTGACTGTTTTTTTATTTTTTGTCAGAACGGGCCATCCGTTCGATTCAAACAATCGGACCATTTGAACCAAAAATCGAACCCCTGACTGGTTATTCGGTTTTAAAACCCTTGATATATAGGTAAATTTCTTAAACTATCCTTATGGTTTAACTAATTGATTAGTGTACTATTTCTGACATTATGGTTTAACTAATTGATTAGTGTACTATTTCTGAAATTATCTTTATGAAACCAACATTACCTCTACTATTTCTGACAATTGACTAGCACTTCCCTTAATATTCCATTAACAAAAGACAAAAAAAACTATTTACCCTTCATTTTTTTTCAAATTTTCAAAATAAAGAGTACATGTTGAGATACCGTCTTCTACTTCTCTCTAGTTTTCACACTATTGAAATCATGCTCTGGTTCCACCGTTGCTTTCTTCTTCCCAGCTGCAACTGCCGAAGACCAACCAAGAGAAAAGCAGGAAGAGAAATTAGGGGGTTTCTTGATACTAGGCCCAAGCATCGAAGGTATTTGACTTGCGTCGTGTCTGTAATGATAGGTTAAAGAAAGCGAAGTCTGTCTGCATTTCCCCAGTGAACATCCAAAACACTCATGGTTTCTATTCCTCCTCTCTGCCTATCTCTCACTATGGTTATGTTTGATTTAAAGGAAAAGTAGGGAAAGGGAAAGACAGGGAAACCTATACAAGATTTGTAAAGATTTTTCTACTTTTTCCTTCCTTTCCCTGTATTTTCCTTCAAACCAAACATAGCCTCTATATTCCTTGCGTCCCAATTTCTTCAAGAGCTCTAAGATATAGATTTCTCAGGTGCAGCACCGTCACAGGTGCAACCTCAATGAGTATCTTGCCTTCGGAAGCTCACCGGTGCAACATCAGCAAACTAAAGGCAATGAAAAAATTTCTATGCACTCCCAATCATATGTTATCCCTGTCAAGACGTCACCAGATCTCTCATGATTTCCACGGAAACCACGTAGAGAAAATAAGGCGAAATATCCAAATTCAGGAAACCCAGAAAGAAAATCCAAGCCCAAGCGCAAGAAAACCCAGAAAGGTTCCATCTTATTTCCCATCTTATCTCTTGAAATCTTACTATTTGTGTTAGCTGACATTCACTACCGGTGGAGGAAGTAGGCGACGGAGAAAGAAGAGAGTAGTGAAGAAGATAACATCTCAAAGAAGGAAAGAGAAGTTACAGCTAAGGAACTGAGAAGGGTTTGCTGGGTTTATATTGAGAGAGGAAAAGAGAGGATTCTGTTGGGCGTTTGTTATGTTTTGGCGAGTATAAATGGGAGAGCACAAATGTCGAGAGAGGTTAGATTATTGTCGAGATAGCACAAATCTTTTTCACTTGTTCTTCCCCTCCTTCAAACAATTAGAAAACAAACCCTAAACTCTGATTAGAAAACAAACGATTAGAAAAAAGAACTCTACAAACCTATGGCCAGTGAAGATCAAGCAAAAACCCTAAACTCCAATGAAGAAGAAATCAAGCTCCAAGAGGACCTCCCCCCTCTGAACAATTCTCGTGCTGATACATTGATGTGGATGCCGATGCTGGATATAACTCTTTTCAAACATAAAAGGATAAATTGGGTATTTGGAAGTTATAACAATCACGTGATGATACATTTGAGAGCAATTTAAGAAATTTACCTTATATTTACCCCCACCACTTGTCACTTGGCTTCTCTGATCACCGATTATTGAATTGATTAACAAATAATGGAGCATACGCAAAGGCAGGGTTCTAATCCAACTGTCTATGCATTAGTTGACTGACGCAAACCCCATTTCATCCCATCCTAGTCCTAACTACAACTTTTGAGTAAAAGCGAAACAGGACAACTCTCCAATCTCCACAAGTAGATAACCACACTATACTATTAAAGGAGCGAGATTGTGGGACCCAATCGCACTACCACCCTACATAACATACGCATTTTACAAAATTCGCTTCTCTCCGATCCCCACCTACCGCCCCTTCCCCCTCAACCTCATAGACAAGACACCACACTCCAGTCCACACCACACATTACTCCAAACCCAAGTACAAAAACACACAAAAATAATATAACTACAACTCAGATTCTTACTAACAGTGCTTCAATGGCCTCAAACGCTATCCATCCTCTCATTTCATTACTATACAGGTGGGCCCACCATGCCCACATATGTATGGAATGTTGGACCCCCCCCCCCCAATTTTGGAAGAATAATTATCATAGTTCATTTTATCCCAACCACTCAATTCAGAAATTTTATAGGATGCCCATGATATTACCAAAGTATTGAATCTTAATATTATAAACTTACAGACCCTCAGTGCACAGTGAGAGCCCTTAACCTCCCTACAATAAACATACATGGCCCACCAACTCACCCATTAATTTTGATTGGACCCCCTTAAACTACTCAAGTCAAACTATTGTATATTTTCTCGTTGCACATGCTACAAGGAGACCAAAGAGAGAGCGGGAAAGATAAATACCATAGAAACAGTCATGAGTCATGACAAATGTCCACCACCAAAGTAAGAAATTGACAAATGTCCAGATTCCCAAAATAAATTTATACCTAGTAAGATTAAAAAGAGATGAGGTCTTCCATTCAATCACTAGATAAAAACACCCAGAATCCAAATTCCCCAACCCATCTCCCGCTATTAGAGATGTTAAGACTTAACACTATAAAAGAGATTAAAAAAGAAACTACCTTTCGCTGATTGACTTCAACCTTTGGTTTGAGTAATGAGAGAGATGGAGGGGAGTACAATAGAGGTCTGAGGACAATAACAGGACATGAATCATGTAAGGTCCCAGTCCGATACCGATACCGACACGCTTACACGGGATGTGCTCCGCTTCCCGCCGGCGTTTGCTTTTGAGGCTGTGACACGCGTTCTCTTTCCACCCTTCCAATCCACTTCCCCTTCCAATTTCACGCCATCTCCTCCGGCCATCTCCATGAACATCTTCTGAAGGTCCTCGAAACTGTCTTCCTGCAAAGCGCCCCTCAGCCCCACACCAGAAGACCCAACAGAGCAACCAAAAAAAAAAAAGGTATCGTTTCGCGTTACGATACGGATTTAAATGTTCATTATACCCTCACAGGAGGTAATTAAATTATTATCAGTAAATTAAAAACAGAGACTCACCTCGGCCCTCACATTGTCCATCATGGATAACATCTCTTGCATAAAATCAGAAAATCCCTGGTTTCCAATTTTCCCCCAATTCAAAGAAAAAAAGAAAGAAAGAAACCAACAATTGAGCAAGGAATACTGGAGGAGCAAAGCAAGAAATCTATACAGAGTTACAGACCTCGTCCTCCTCTTCGAACGGATCATACAGTCCGGCGTCGTACATTGACCTTTTTCCTTTATCAGACAATACTGTAAACGAAACACCACCCACGGATGTTATTTTCTCATCAACAGTAACGTCCATCGGAAAGAGGGTCGGCCATTAAAGTTTCCCCTGTCTTACCGGAATACGCCTCCTGTATTTGCTGAAAACGCCGTTTGGCTTCTCCGGCGACCGTTGGATTTTTCGTCCACCTGTCCGGATGCCATTTCTTCACCACAAGAGGAACAATTAAACCACGGAAAAACACGTGAAAATTTAATTAAGAAGAAAAAAGAGGGGAGAACAGAGAGAGAAAGAGAGGAGAAACCAACCAGAGCGAGTTTTCGGTAGGCGCTGCGGATTTCAGAGAAGGAGGCGTCCCTACGAATCCCGAGAACGGAATAGTAACAGGAACCGTCGGATCCTCCTTCCCTCTCCATAACTACGGCGAAGGCGAAACCAAATCTGGAGATGAACTCTACACCATAGAAGCCCCCGAAACGGAGAGGGTGAACAAGGGATGATCTGAGAATATATACCAAATCTCAAAAAAAATTAAGGTTTTATAAATTCAACAGGGAAAGAGAGTCCATAGACAAAAAAATTGCACGGAGATTGTTTATATATTAATTTTTTTTTGTTTATTATATTATTATTTTAATAAAAGTTTCTCCGGACTCCGGCCTTCGTAAAAAATATCTTCCGGCCTCTTCCACAAGCGGAAACTTCGAGAGATTTCAATCATCTAGATATTTTCTTGTTATTGCACATATGCCATTGATCGCGCAATTAATTACAACAATGCCACGTCGTTCGTCATTTCGTCAATAGTCGATCAATATCATACTGATACCAGTTTTGTGTTTTGGGCTGGGCCTACAAGTCTTTGAGCTTGGCCCAATCGATCAGAAAGTCCAAGTTTTCTTCAAGCCTAGCCCATTGAAACTGATTATCATTTCTGCTTTAGTACAATGGAACGAATCTTTTATTGGTCAAGCTAATAATTATAATAAAAGAAAGGTGATGTATATATGTCCTTCCCACGTGCAAGGCATATATCATCAACAACATCGAGCTAATTAAGAACCTAAATTCAAAGTTGGGCCCCAAATAGAACCCACTAGAACTTGGGCCCAACTGGACGTATTTGGGCTGGGTGAATTAGGTTTAACCCGGCTCAGCCTGACTTCCATTTCCATGATTCCATCCTAGATTATCATGACTATTAATAATGTTGGGGTACTAATTGCTTTATTGCTTACGCTGTAAAATGACGTCAGCACTCAGCAGTAAGTGAAAAGCTGGCAATGTATGCAATAGTGCAGTATAGGACCGATGGTGGCCAGGAAATAGAAAGTTGAGAACTGAACAAAATCAAGATGGGCAAAAGTTTTCACCGTCTTCGGACTTGGTTCGAGAACACGGGGAAGGAGGTGGTTTGAAGTTTGAACTTGGGTTAGAACAAATCTAAATTAAAACAAATTGGACCAGTTCGAAATGATCCGAAATATTCATCGGATTGAATTGGACCGGATTTATTAACGTGAACATATTGGAGGGTACATTGAATTGGATCGATTCAAAATGATCCAAAATATTCTGGATCTATTAATGAATTGACATTGGAATGGATCGGATTGGACTTTAATTGATACCTCTAATATTTGCTGTTCGGTTTGACACTAAGGAGTAAAGTGAAAGTTGACCTAGTGATCATGGTACTTGTAATTATAAGAACAGTCAAGAGGCTCCCGAGTTTTTCTTCTAAGTTCAAAAAAAGGCATTAGTTATAGACACATTTTTGGTGAGGCCAATCAATCGGGAGCAGATTAACTGGAGACAAAAACATACACACCCGGCTGAACCTATCACGGTTGAATATGCCAGTGTTTAGTATAGCTGAGTCCCAGATGGGGTCCATAGTGAGCACAGGTGTGTTCAACTATGATAGATAGTTCAACCGGGTATGTATGATTTTGTCTTCAGCTCATGCGGACTGCAATCAAATTAACCTAAGAAGTTTGCCTTCGAATTGTTCATCAATCCTAGCGATCTCTTCATTTGAACCTTATATTGTACGTCCTCTTTTTCACCTTAGGTTGAGTTTGGAAATAGTACAAATATAAATATATACAAAATATAAGGTTTTACACTACACATTTATATTTACATTTGTACTCCTTCCAAACTATGCCTTATGGTTTTCAAAACCGGACCAGACCGAACGGTCAGATTGGAAAAATTGGAAATTTCTCTAAAAACCGGATTTTCCTCCAAAACCGTTGATTTTGATCAGCAAATTGCAAAATCAGACGATTAACCATTTGAACGGTTTTGACCGTATTTTATTTTTTTAATTTTTTGTCAAAATGAGTCTAGCATTCGATTTGAACAGTCAGACCATTTAACCCGATAATCGGACCTCTGATCAGTACGATCACCAGGTCAGTTTTAAAAACCATGCTAAGCCTTATAAAAAAACAGTCAGTGGTCGAGTTGGAAGTGAGAAGGAGAGCTCCGGAGATAATACTACAAGTAGTAGGAGAACGAGGTGAGCTGAAGTGAGCAATGAGTAGATGAGAGTAGAGAATGTTTGCCACAGAGAGTGTACCTTTGGGATGTGTGTCTTATTTATAGGGAGTGTCAAAATTTTTAGCCTAAAATACATTTAGGGTAGATGTCAATTGGGAATTGATGCCAATTCATAAACGGGCATTGATGTATAAAATGGGGGTATTTAACATTTTGAATCTTTATAGATCTGTATAAAATTCAGAAATCTAGAATAGGCTTATCCGTACTTTTTCCATTTTTTAAGCCAAATACGTAATTTCATTCAAGCAGCAAAATTAGTACACACCACATTCCTTAAGAATGATAGGTTACAGAAAATCTGGAAAATAGATGGATTTGGAGTGCTTTAAAAGATGGTAATGTAACAGTTAAACTGCCTGTGAGGTTCTCTTTACAGAAAAATATGGGCTGGGTCTAAATCTGCCTCTCAAAGTCTGGAAACTTCCCTGCCCATATAAAATCCAACGTTTTACCTTCAAAATTTTAGCAACTAGATGACATCTCTAACAAAATCTCTTCAGAGGAAAACCATCTTTTTATTGCACCACACAGATCATATCGGAAATAAGGAACGAAAAAAATAAAATCTTGGGAGAATGACTATTCAGAATGAATCAGAATTTTTAGGCCCAAAGTACAGTTAGGGTTAATACACAGGGAATTGATGTCAATTTATGGATGGGCATTGATGTATAAAATGGGAATATTTGACATTTTGAATGTTTATAGATCTATGGTAGAATTCAAAAATCTGCAATGAACCTATCCATACTTTTCTGAAAAATCTTTAATCACAATGATCCCAATGCCAAGACATTGTGGGCATCCAACATTAACAATGCAAATTTGTATTCAGTAGCTAATCAATCTTTAACAAGTTATATTAGGTACCAGACATGTGTCAATACAGAAGGGCTCAAAAATGGCAACTGCTGCTGGCATATTCCAATCGAGATCATAGAGGATGATGGAAGGGAGGCTTCATCAGAAAATTTGATTTGGCAACACAACCATTGACATGGCAGAACTTTGGGAAATCCACGAAGGCCTTCGATATGCTATGCAATTTAGCATATTTCCCCTTATTATGGAATCTAATTCCCCGTAAACCATTTCAGTTCTACAATCCAATTAATAACCAAAATGGCATCTTGATGTTCTGTTCCAATCAACCTAGCAAATGCTTCAACAGTGCTCAAATGTCAAGTTGCTTCATGGTGTCCAAGAATCAAACCAATGTGCGGATCATCTAGCAAACCTTGCATTTTCGCAATCTTTTGGGTGTAAATATTTCTCAAATCTTTTGGGAATAATTTCTATATTTTTTATGCAAATTAAAGAGATTTTAACAAGAAATAGCAAGCATGCAATAATTAAACACAAAGCAAGTATCAGTAGTAGACACTACGATTTACGTGAAAAATCCCTCAAAAAACCATGGTACCCAAATCCAAATCATCCACTGTCAACAATAATAATGAGATATACTACTTTTTTTTTTTATTTAATCACAACTAGATAATGAACATCAACAAAGTTTTTGGATTCCATCAACAAAATTGATAGAAAACAAGAAATCTCTCACCAAGAGTGGAAACACAACAAGAAAACAAAAAGAGATGTTGAAAAATGGATTTGTCTTCTTCATTTTAGCCCTTATAAATTTTTTCTTCTTCTTTCCAAAACCTTCTCAAAAACCCTTTTGTTTTCTCTAATATTTTTCCCTTAGAGAGATGGTAGAGTTAAGAGTTACAAATCAATGCAAAAAGTCTCTTTACTTTTCCTCCTTTCTTTTTTCTCTTTTTCTTCTTTCTTTTCCTTATCTTTATTAGTGGGCCCCACCTCATAAGGAGGGAACCCCAACAATCTCCTCTTCACGACTTTTGAGGAGGGTTGCACTATGCCCAAACCTACAATATTTCTACAATATTCAAATTTCTCTTTCAGTAAGGCCTTGATCATCATATCTGATCTATTTTTGTTACTCTGAATTTTCTCAAGTTGCATTTCCTTTTCTTTAAGAACATTCCAAATCCATTGATATCTCATATCAATATGTTTGGACTTAGAATAAGAACTTGGATTCTTGCACAAGTGAGTGTCACTCTATGACAATAATGTATGTAGCTTCTGTAGTTGACAATGCTACACATTTTTGCAACTTGGATTGCCATGATACTTTTTCCCTAGCAAAAGTGGACAAGAAGCTTGATATAGACTTTCTAGAGTCAATGTCACCTCCTATATCAGCATCTTTAAACCCTTCAAACATAGGTTTACCACCACCAATTAGGCACCACATCAACAAAATGCCAATAAATGCCTGTTCGTTTCAGGAAGCTCCAAAATGAAGATTCCTGAAATAGAAGACGTGTATAGAATACAGATACGCATAATTAGGCCTTTGCTAATGGGGCACCTATATGGCAGCATTTACTCAATAAACGTAAACGAAACCAAACACATACTTGATGAGAATCTGCAATTGTTACTAAGTTGGTGCATTGTGGTTGGCACCGTGATGAAATTCCAATTTTGCCCTTTGATATGGGCCACATGGCATCTTCTTGTTGGTCTGCACTATTTGGCCTTATCAATATGCATTTTGCTCTAGGTTTGAATCGATTTATGTCTTGTAATCAAGTGAAACAATAATAATAACAATAATAATAAAGCAAATGTGCATTGAATATTGTGTTTATTATCAAAACGATACAAAATTTGCTTCCAAAATATTTACAAAAGCCGTTCCAATGTGCATCAATGGATGTCAACATACTAATGACTTGCACAGTTGTGTTTGACATTTTGCAATATTGACATGGGGAAAATGTATTCATATTTGCTCATATAAAAGCCAAACAAACTATGTTTACACCAATGGTGTTAACACTTGTTTATACTTATTGTGATGCATTAAAGTTTTACATATCAAATAAGAAGGGGTCTAAGAGCATTATTTATGTCATTTTAGATTAGATCAACTAACATAAGGGCCAATTTGGTTCTCAATCAG